ATCAAATATCTTAGAATCATATTGTCGGTCAGGCGTTTTATGCGAAAAGCAGAAAACAATGAGCTAATTCCGACTAGAGATGGGCACGGGCCAGGCTTTTGGCAGGGGCCCGGCGGGCCCCTGCGTAAGCCCGCGGGTACGGGCCGGAATATTTGCTGTCAGCACGAACTCGTGCGTGCATGGGCGTTCAGTAAAATTTCATAAAAGCACGAATAGGCACGAAAAAGCCCGTTGCTAATACTACAAATTTAGAAAAGCGATTGTTTTTATGCAAAAAAAAAATAGTACATATAAAACTCTTTTGATAAGAGAAAAGCAAAAAAAAAAAAATATTTGGAAACCGATAGAAAAAATAAGATACTTAGTAGTTTTGTTACCCAAAATACCTTCCACTTTTTCTACTTCTCAGAAAATATTTTATAAAAATCTTTGATGGAAAAAATTGATTCGCTTAAGTAAATATACATACATTAACACAAAATTAAAAATATGTACATATGTATACACACAATAAAAGTTGGCTCTTTATTTCCGGGCTGGGAGGTGTCCCGTCGTGCCGGGCCGAGCCGGGCCGGGCTCCACTAAAATTCTCAACGTGCGGGCTCGTGCGTGTTTTTGAAAGTTGATTTTGCACTCGTGCCTGAAAAATTAGGCCCGTGCCCATTTCTACTACGGAGATATCGGCAATGGACCACATATTTTGTGGCCCCCTGCTGCTCAAACAGAGCAGCCTTCACGGCTGACCCCAGTCCACCTGAGCAGCTCAACACAGACACCACAGCACCACAACATAACAACACAATAGGCCACACCACAACCGCACCACAACCCACACGCCGCCGCCAACAACTTCTAGTTCCTCCTACAATGTGCACGGTTTGTCAGACCAGGATATTCCGTATTGTGACATCAGTCCAGTGCAACACCTGCCTTGGCTGGTGCCACTTTAGGGCATGTTCAGGTCTGCGCACCACGCGAGATTGGACGAGGAACTTCGAGGGCCCATGTCGCGCTGCCCGATCGCAAACCCCAACTGCTACGCCTCCCACTACCACCACAGGGCGGCAACCTCCACAGCAGCGCACACAGCCAATGGCGGTAAGGCCACACACATCCCTCACACCCCGCATAACTACACGTCTCCCGAACCACATGAAGCTCCTTCAATTAAACTGTAACAGACTTCAGAGTAAGATCGAGGAGATAACCGTCTTCATGGGAAGGCATGGTATATTGATAGCTGCGGTCCAAGAGACGAAGTTGCACCGTCGAGATCGCGAGCGAGATAATGGTAGTGGCTTAGCGTTCATCACGCCCCACAGGGTGCAGTATCGTCTTATTGAAGCAGACATCGGCCGCAGGGATACCACCCTAGAATTTCAGGGCATTGCTATCCGGTCAGGCGATTTTGAGCTCGAAATATTTAATTTATAAAAACCCCCTGTCCTTGCTGCTCGGCAGGATACCCCCTGACATAGGTGCGCTCCTCAGAGGTGAAAACCGTATGGCAGTAGGTGACTTCAATACGCATCACGATCTTTGGCATTCAAGCCTGTCAAACGATCGTAGGGGAGCAGACTTAGCTGAGCAGATAGACGATTCGACATTCTGCTCAATGAACGACGGCGCACCCACCAGGATTATGGGCAGGTGCTGCAGCTCACCAGACAACAATAGTCAGCGCTGGTCTGATAAACAGCGTATCATGGCGAGCTATGCTGACTTTGGCATCAGACCATCTGCCCATAGTCATCTTGATAGATAAACCAACCGAATTTGCCTCCGCGAAATACCTGACCTATATCAACTTTTCTAAAGCTGATTAGAAAGGCTACGCGGAATTTACTGAGAGCACCTTCGGTGCGCTCCCCACACCAACCGACGTCCACCTTGGTGAACGTAAGTTTCTCAGGGTTGTCACTGCTGCTGCAGCTCGCTTCGGATGCATAACGGAGCCACGTCCAAATTTCCCTACTGAAGCGGCTGTTCTAGCCGATGAGCGTGACGGCCTTCTACTGGCCGATCCCGGAAATCCTCATATCAGGGATCTCAACGCGGAGATTCGGCAACAAGTGAACGTACATAAGCGGAGGAAGTGGGAAGAGCATCTGAAGACCCTTAACTTCACCTCTGGTGTGAGTAAGCTTTGATCGACCGTGAGATCACTGTCCAATCCAACGAAGGACGACGACAGGGTCGAAATTTCTTTCGGCGGCCATGCTTCGTCGGACCCGGAGCGATGCGCAAGCTATTTTAGCCGGCAGTTCATACTGCATCCTCCGATGGACAAAGCCAAGCGTCGAGTGACCAGGGCTGCACAACCTGCCAACAACCTGTGCGGTGAAGTTCAGGTGGCCATGGGTCCCGACAGAATATGCATGCTGATGCTGAAAAATTTGGGTCCCACGGGAGTAGCGTACCTTACGGAGGTCCTCAATATGTCTATGGCCCCTCTCATCATCCCAGACATCTGGAAGGTGGGGAGAGTGGTCCCACCGCTCAACCCGGGGAAACCACCCAACAAAGAAGAATCTTATCGATCGATAACACTCCTTTCCCCGGTAGCGAAGACACTAGAGACCTTGCTGCTCCGTATTTCACAAACCACCTGACCCCAGCGCAGCATCAGCATGGTTTCCGTAAAGTGCACAGTACAACAACAGCACTTAACGCCATAAACATTCAGATAACTCGTGGCCTTAACCGTAACCGTCCCTGTGAGAGAACTATTCTATGTAGTAGCGTTGGACCTGTCAAAGGCGTTCCACGCTACTAGAAGATATAGAGGCTTCCTCTCTCCCACAGAGGCTCAAAAGGTGGTCGGCGAATTATCTGAGGTCGACATTCGTCGGTAATGTTTATAGACAAATCGAGCAAACTTAGAAAAATTAAACAGGTGGTTCCAAGGGGGGGTTGCTTTCCCCGCTACTGTTTAACATTTCCATTTATTTATTTAATGTCTAAAGTTGTAAGTGGTACAGACATGAAAAATTACAAGCTACGTAGTTAAATTTTTGGTACAATTTGAAGCGTTAAATGAACTAAGAGTAAATACATTAATGGCTAATCTAAATTTTTGCACAATAAATAGTTTTTCAATTTAGTATAGATAATTGATTTTGATTCCGACAAGTCAAGATCCAAAAATTTTGAGAAACAGTTGTACTCAGTCAAAGCCCTGACAATGGGGGCATTTGCATTGTAAACTGTTTTATTTAAACCAATACGAAAAGTATCAAAGCGACGAAGGTTTCTACTCGGCACGGTGAAATCTATCAACCCAAGAAGGGACGAGCAGTCGACTTTACCCAAGACAATGTCAAGAAGAAATGACACGGACAGTAGTGAGCGTCTATTGTTTAATGTTAATAAACTAATCAATTGGCAACGCGACTCGTAAGGTGGAAGCGGTTCAGAAAAATGTAGTGTGCAGAGCAAAGCGTAGGAATATTTTTTGCACTCTCCAAACGATTGATGTGAATAGCGTGATACGGTCTCCAGATAAACGCTCCCTCAAACCCAAGAGGGAGTCTCGATTGTCTCCTGCGCCGACGATTGCTCGATCATGGCGACTGGGAATGGAATTGATGACTTGTGTTCGAAAGTAAACGGGTGTCCCTGCAAGCTTTCTCGCTTCTTCAGTGCAAGGAGCCTAACCCTCTCCCCTACGAAATCCTCTGCGACCTTGTTCACCACCTGGACAAAGGAGGTCAGGCTACCGCTGGGAATTCCCGTCGATGATACACCAATTCCGACGGTGAATAACCCCAAAATACTCGGAGTAACCTTCGACCGTCTGCTCTCCTTCTCTGCGCACGCAACCGCTATTGTCAACAAAGTACAGAGCCGCAACAAGGTCCTCAAGTCGCTAGCCGGAAGTACTTGGGGCAAAGATAAAGAAACGTTGCTGGCAACATACAAGGCAATAGGCTGGCCGGTTTTAAATTACGCAGCACCAGTGTGGTCGCCGGGGACTATTAGGACGCAATGGATGCAGACAACTCAGAACATCGCACTACGGACAGCGACTGTATGCCTTTTGATGTCGCTTGAACACCACTTACACGACGAGGCGGAATTGCTCCGTCAAGGAGCATAACAAGCAAGCAGTTCCTTGTCGGGAGTCATAGACGTGGTCCCCCGAATGGGCAGCTGCTTGAAGAAGAGCCCTCGCCCAGGCACGTCAGGAGGCATCTCAACGAACTGACGGACGAAGTCCAGAGGTTCATTAAACAACCTCTGGACCCGTCAGCATATCGACAGGCCCCGAACGGCATTCACTGGGAGTCAGTATCGATTTACCTGTGAATGCCGTTCTAGGCGCACAACCACCGGACATAGACGAGACGGAGCTTCATCTGCCTCGGGAGACAAAAACCACAATAGCCCAACTTCGCTCTGGCTATTGCAGCAGGTTAAACTCATACGTGAGCAGACTAAACGCGGATGTGCCGAATGAGTGTCCGGCATGCGGAGAGACACCTCATGACTCGAAGCATCTCTTCGTATGCCCGGAAGACCCAACAACCCTAACGCCTTTGTTCCTGCGGACCGACCCTATAGAGGCTGCACTCTTCTTAGGGCTGCCGTTAGTGGAACTTGACGACATCGACAGCTATGAACCGATCTGGGGGAATTGTTGTAGCCGCTACAACAACAACAACAACAGCAATTAAAAAGCTGATCGGTGTATTTGCCAATTGAAAATATTTGGCGCGATTTTTTGTTTATTCATTTTGACAGCTGCTAGTTCTGCCAGTAAAAATATTACTAGCAGAAATTAGCAGGAGGGCCAAAGAAAAGTAGAGAGTTAGAACGAGAGAGAGTTGCTAGTTTTTTTGGGTTAATTAACGCTTTCCAGCAGCATTCGAGTATTCTCAATTGCCTCTAGCAGCGACGCAATGCCATCCATAATAATCGAGCCATTTTTTAAATTATACATTACTTAAATTTACATAAATTATACATGACTTAAATGGAATATTTTTAATTGTTTTTAGGAAAGTGAAGCGCGAATAAACTTTCTAAGGAAGAAGTCTGGTTTGCCAGAGCGTCGCAATAGTAACATTCAAGAAAGCTTGGGATTATCTACTAAAGATGATATCAGCGCTGATCCGCAACACGTAAATTTATTCGCTGATTATAGATCACATATTAAAACTACAAATAAAGCATTAGAAGAAGAAAAAAAGGAAGAGCGAGAGAAATATGAAAAGCAAATTGGCTACCTAACATATTTAGGACAAGACACAAATGAGTCGTTAAAATTGCGAAGCTGGTACGAGGTGGCACCACAAAGAGAAAAAGTCGGCGAAGTCAATACCCTCGAAAAGGATTTAAAAAACAAAGAATCTCAAGACCCTCTGACACTTATTAATGCATTATTACCCAGCGACCAGTTGAAGACTGAAAGGCCTACTATATCCAAATTTTCGTTAGAAAAAAATGAACCATCAACGTACCCTCTCCTAAGTGGGAAGAAAATAAAAAAAAATTATCAAAAAGAGGAAAAACGGAAGTTTCGCAAAGAAAAGAAGCATAAGAAACGTAAACACAGACATAAAAAAGACGAAGCTAAAAAGGATAAGCGGTACCTTAGCACAGAAAGTGAAAGTGATTCGGAGGAACGGCAACGGCTTAAGCGCGAAAAAATAGAAAAACTTCGAAAGGAACGACTACAGCGAGAGGCTACTGAACGGGCACGTCAAGAAGCACTTCTAACACCAAAGAATAGTACGCAAGAATTGAATACAAAAGAAGCTCCCGCTACACGAATTGTACAAAAGTACAATAGCCAATTCAACCCCGAAATAGCAAAACAAAATATTATTTAATTTGTATATACCTTGCAAAGTTATTTTATTTGTGCATATAATACATATTCATTCCGGTGTAGACCAAAGTTGATATTTAAGCATTCTTTGCGCAACGGAAGCCCAAGTTTCCGGATGAACTATCTGCAGTGTTTTGGGAACGAGCAGCACACCGATACCGAAAGCAATAGGATTCATGACATAAGTAGGAACCACCTTTCTTTACACGCTGAGCATTCGGACCAACCTCATCTTTTTGCCAGCTGTCTTGTGTCCATTCCCAAACATTTCCCACAATGTTATAAATATCATAGTCGTTTTGACGGAATTCGCTGACAGGACAGGTTATGCCATAGCCATCGGCCGCAGTGTTATCATCTGGGAATTCGCCTTGCCAAATATTCAACCTATATCATAAATTCCCGTGGAAATCAAATAATAGTACAATTTTTGACATACCAATGTTTGCCGCGTGGTGATAATTTATTTCCCCAAGGAAAGAGTTTGCGTTTCTTTCCCCCTCGACATGCAACCTCCCACTCTGCTTCTGTGGGCAACCGTTTTCCTGCCCAGTTGCAATAAGCTACCGCATCATTCCAGGACACATGAACAACAGGATGATCCAAAAAATCTTAATTGAAAAATAAGAAAATATAAGCAGAGGTGTCAATCTAAGCCAAATGCTTGAAAAAGCTTATTTTGCATATATCTGGCAATTTTGTTGGTTCTTAATTTTCTTCTTCGGACAACATATTAACTATCGTACATTGCTTATTTTGTGGATAGGAAATTGATCGATCCTTCAAGTGGTTTTGATTAATTACACCAGGCTGAGGTTCAAATACCCAATTGGCTAAATCTCGCAAAATAATCTCTTGTGGCACTAATCATAATTTTTGAGTCTGGCGAGAGTTCTCGCCTTTCTCTAACGCGCAAGAGAAAACTGAAATACATAATCAGATTCTCTGAAACGCACATTTATCGAGAGTTTAAAATAATTTTCCGTTCCCTCAGTTCGTCCATCAGGATTTTTTTAAGTTTTCCAGCAATTTAAAATTATACAAAATTGGAAATAAAGAAATGAAATTGTTCAAAATTATTGTTGTTTACTTTTACTTTTACAGTTTTACTTGTTATCATAATTTCTCAATGTAAAGCTTGAAAAACCTTTCCGCGCTAATATGTACATACTTTTATATCAAATGATTCTTAAATCTGAAATGTTTGTTCAAAGTTTCAGATCGATCACTTTAATTTGATATATGAATTGTCTCTATACGTTTATCCATAAATATATATATGGACAAATCTAAAAAATAGGTACACTTTCAAAAAAAAAAAATTTAATTTTTAAATTTGTGAGCACACCTATGTTTTATATATCATTTTACTCGTAATATCTTAATAAATCGATTAATATAAGTGTAATTCATTTTCGTCAAGTGCTTCAAAAGTTAGCCGAGGAATAAACATGAAATATAAAACAAAAGAATAAGCGGGGTGCAAATTACGCTGTTCAAGTTGTAAACTTTGAGCAAAGATTTTGAAAGTTGAACTCACTTATTGATTATGATTAAATTTTAACTATTTTATAAATAACTCCCTCAGTCTTGAAGTTATTTTACTAAAATTTGGTAAATAACAGTTTTTTAATATTACCTTAATTATTCCTTAAAATTATCGAAATAGGTTCACATCAACATATAGCTCCAATGCAACTGATTACTCAGATATGTGTTTTTGCGCTATAACTCGAACTTCATATCTGAATAATAAATTGTATGCGTGCTATATGTTAAATTGAACCCATACTAAATTTTAACCTGTTTAATTGGAGGAGTTATAACGCAAAACAACGTCTCTGATCAATCAGTTGTAAGTGAGCTAGATGCTTTAGTCAACCGATTTCGATGATTGTATGGAATAGTTAAGGTAATATTAAAAACCGGTTATGTGCAAAATTTTAGTAAAATATCTTCAAAACTCAGGGACTTTTTTATAAAATAATTAAAATTTAAGCAAAGTTTCAAGTACCGCTATCTCGAAAAGTGGAGCCAATAGGGTAAAACTGAGGACGCCATTGATTTTGGAAGGCTCCAATTAAGTAAGAGCAACTATCAGAACATTTGTCGAAAAAAATTTGTTTGATACCACTCGAAATATTCTGACTAAAAGAAGGAGCATCATTAAATATAGTAAATCAGGGTTTTTACACACTTCTAGAGACAATTTTTTTGAAGCATTGTACAGGTATATGTAATTTTATAAGAACTAGCAGTTATAGAAAGATTTATATCGACGTATTTTCCAAATGTGCCTTCAATTAAGGAGTTTTTGGTATAAAAATTACGCTCAAGATCGCAGAATATTTTATCTTTAAAAGTTGTTTTTTCTGAAAGCACACCTCTTGCTAAGGTATCAAATTATTCGTTATTGTTTGTAGAATACAACACATACTTAAGAAGTTCTTAGAATTAAATGCTTCAAAACCTATACGCGATAAACCAAAAATTTTGAAAATTGTGAAATGACTTTGGGTTACTTACCATTTCGTCATTTTTAAGGCACATTTTCATTACCTACTACATATGAAGTGTACACATAAGTGCTAAATGCCCATTTAATTTCAAATCGGAATATGGTGTGCTTCAAAAGATATGACATAATTAATTGTGCGCCTCTTAAAAATTACATAAAAAATTCACTTGTTTTCATAATTTTTTTTTAATTTAAACACCTATAATTCAGCAAATTGCTCCACATTTTTTTTGAGGCTTCAAGTATATGTCAATGAATTGTATCCAAAAGCAATCAGCTGGATTTAGTTTACAACAGTGAAAATAAAGCTAAACACAAAGGTTACCTGTTTTTTAGATTTGCGCATATATGTAGATTTTTTAATACATCATATATGTAATACTTCTATATTGGCAGTAAGCTAACTTCACAATGTGTAAGCATTCCGAAATCAAAGCGAGACAGTCTAGTACCGTTTTTGTCAATGAATTGTGTACTTGAGTGCCGTTTTTGTATATGTGTTGTGTACATGTTTATTTATAAACGTATGTGTTCCTTTTCTTTCGTACGTGTTTATTGATACATCTGTACTGTAGTGTTTTCGGACGGTACTAGCCATGATAAAAACATAACAAGGTAAAACCATTGAGAGGCAGTCTGAATTTTAAAATCAAAACTCAAACTCACACACACATTCTCATTTTCAATCTCAAACAACAATTGTGAACAATTTAATTTTTTTATTTTCAATTTTATATGATTTTAAAATGTTGGCAAACGTCAGAAAAAAATCATGGCCGACGAATCGAGAGAATGAATTAACAATGTAATTTGTAATGTTTTTATCATGGTACTAGCTCTTACTGCCAATATAGGAGTATTACATATATGTAATACATATAGAACCATATTTGTCTCATTAGAGAAAAAACGTCAAAATAAACTATGTAAGATTTACATATATATGGATGTGTGTACAGAGCCAAAAGCAATATTTTTGTTTTGCAGATCTTCCGCTGCCTACATTCGCACGAACGTAGCAATGCTTGCTAGATATGAAACAAAAACGGACGAAAACGAATTAATGGAACATCCGATAGATACAGCCAGTGTTGCCAGGTTGCCGATTTGGTCGTCATTTTGAAGATCTTTTACGGCCATGACGATTTGACGATTTTTTTGCCCCATTGGCGATTTTTCTTCATGTGCAAGTTTGGTTGGTTCTCAACTTTGAAGATAGTTACACAGACAACTAAAAATTGCAGTGTAAACACTACCATTTCTGATAATACACAATTGTGTATCCAAATTATATCATCTGGTAGCACTAACAGTAGTTGTCGATACCCAATAAACATTTAGGTTTGAGCTCAACTTGAGGTTAAGTTGAGAACTAAGGTATTTCTCAAATCTCCAACGTTGTTTCTCAACAGTATCTCAAGTGGAGGATCATAGCGTTCTCAACAAAAAGGGCATTTTTCTTTATATGAAAAAAGGACTGTTTCTCAAGGTGAGAAAATGCTAGTTCTCAACTTGAAGTCCAATTTAATTCTCCAATTGGTCTCAAACATATCATTGAAATACTGAAATTGAAATAGTAAAATACCTTATACCTTTTTGATTGAAACGACATACATAGATGAATTTAAATATTAATTTTTAATTTTATTACTCCTTTTGTATTATGTAGTTCAGCAAAATCGTATTACAATAATTCACTTCACAGTACACAGTCCGACAGTAATTTTGCCACTTGATTCACTTGGCGTTTTATTTTCTTTCAAGATTATTTGAGGATGTTTTGAAGATTATTTACTTTTTGTTGGTAATTTTCCTCTTTATATAGCTTTAGTTTTTCACTTGATAATTAAATATTCGTTTCTCTATCACTTTTTACGTATCTGCGCGTCGGTTAGAGATGAGTTGGAGAATGATGTTGGATATCAACTTGAGAACTTTGAATTTCTCCAAGGTTGGAGAAATATTTTTTTGGTGTTTATTGGGTAAGTAGTTTTCTTCTTTGTTTCATCATTTTTGTGTAGGTTTTCGGGTGAAATTCGTAGTTTTTGCGTTGTGTACTGATACATATTTCATTGAGCGAAGGAAATTATGAATAAGTTATTTAGCGAAACTTGTAAGTATGAACAGTTTTTAATGCACATGGTAAAGTTGCAGTTTGCAAATATTTGATGTTCTCTTTACCTCAGCTGTCGAGCCAGAAGATGCTGCTTTGCAAGAAAACTCAACTCTTGAGGGAAGTTTGTTCACACGGGACTTTTTAAAAGGAAATGGTTGACCTTGGTTTGAGTTTTAACCAAACAGCGATATACATAAAAGTTTCAAAAATTAAATATAGCATTGACAATTGTACCTTAATAAAGCTAAGTATACAGTTCTCAAGAAAATCGAAAAATTCATATAAAATCACTCAAGAAATCAAACCAGTAAAAAAAAACGCTCGTATATTTAGTCATTCAAAAAAATTTACACCAACGGCAATGTTCTTTTTCAAACAACAAAAATAATGAAACCCATTCGTGTGATTTTTCTAGAAATATATACTAGATAAAAACTTTGTGACAAAAACAAATGTTACATGACTTATCCAAAGTTTCACTAATCAATTTTAAATTTATCAGACTGTTAAAATTTAAAATGTTTAATTTTCCGAACAAAAGGGTCATTTTAAATTTTAACAAGCTGATAAATTTAAAATTGATTGGTGCTGCCGGGCATTAATGATCTAAAAATGAAGAAGAAAATGCGATTTTATTGCAATTAAAAATATTTTTGTTAAAAGTATGTAAATTTTAAAAATTCGTAAAGTCGTTTAACTTTTTATTTTTTACGTATATCAATCAGAAAAAACCCAAAAGTGCTTCCTGGTTCTGTTTATTTAAATTTTTTATATGTTGACGGTTTTTACATGCAAATGACAATTTTTGAGAACCAAACTGACGATTTCTCACTTAATTCACCTGGCAACACTGCCTACAGCACTGCAGCAAGAATGATAAAATACAAGATAGCGCCGTCCTGGGCGTTGACATTTGTGTACCACAAGTAAACAAAGAATGGAGTGAAAAGAAGAGCGAGTTGAAATTGCCAAAGCAGTTCACTTTACAGCGAAAAACGTGTTTTAATTTTGCTAAATGTGAAAATATAGCATTTTTTAACCTAATCTATTAGAGAACAGTGAACATTTTAGTGCACTCCTTTGCTTTGCAATTAAGGCTGCTGCAGAATACTGCAGCAGCATCTGCGGGATTGATTAGTTAACTTGCTAATGGAGGCTGCGTGGAGCAGAAACAAAATCATTGTGAGGAAATGCTGGTAATATAATAATAGAGAAACATTTCGGCAACGGCTTTGCCGTGCCCTATGTACCCAAAATGCAGCGATTCGTCCCAGCGCTACACTTGCATCTACGCTTCTTGCATCTGGACGGCTGTCGCAATTTAACACACAGCACTTCGTTGTATTAATTTTTACGCAGTCCTCAACGCAAAAATCACTCGCAAATTGAAAATTAACACAATTTAAACTGATTTTTCACTTATAATTAAAATTTCTCTTTCGCTGATTTGTAAACAAAGGTTTATTTACAAGTTACCACAACTGTC